AAAACAGTCACGTAGGCTCAGCGCGTTCTGAATTAATATGTAGGGGAGGGGGATATGTATATGAAGCACAAACAAACAGTCACGTAGGCTCAGCGCGTTCTGGATTAATATATAGGGGAGGGGATATGTATATGACTACAAAATTTACTAATTTATTATATATATAGGTTATATGATGAAGTAGATCTGTGTTGGAGACTCCGTAATTCTTTCCTCCACATTCATTTCCCTCTCTCGAATTTTCATTTCCTCTACCGACTGCTCCTCATCTCATGTCGATGGCCGCCTCTACAGTTCCTGTTTCCTTCTCAGGTAAATTCGTACACTGTTTTCTATTCTATCAAGCTTTTCCTTTTCATTTGTAAATTCAATCATGATTTCTGGGTCACGCACTCAATCCCACACACTTCTGCCACCATTTTTAGCTCAATTTACATTGGCATCTTATAGTTTATATTCTGTCAAGATTTTTGTACTTATGAAATGTGATTTTGGTTTCTATTGGCAGAAAAAATGGGCCCATTTATACGGTTGTGTTCGTATAACTGTTTTTGGTTCTGTCGCAGGAGGGAATCATACCAAGAACATCAATATTTCAGCTGTAAACCCAGGTGCCTTTGTTAAGTCTCGACAATTAACGTTTCAGTCCAAGACTCGCTCTCGATTGTGTGTCCGTGCTCGACAGAAGTACGACTCCAAGTCAATGAGAAATAATAGAAATATGAGTTATCTGGGCTTATAAGACTTTAGCCATAGAAGTTCTTGAATATTGATAAAATTGTGATTCGAACAAGTCTCCGTAAAGTTGCGATTATATATTTGTTGTTTTATAAGATTTTTTATTTCTTCCATATCAGATATCTGTGTTATCTGACACGTGATAATTGTTAAGCAAATGTTTGCTATTGATGTCTCGAGACATTTGTTGTGTACTAAAGTGCCGGCAAAGTCATAATGCGTGTTGGATACAATGATGATAGCTTTGTGAGAAAGATAACATTAGCTAGAATATTCAGTAAAGTCTTACGAGTATCTCTGTATTCTAATTTTTAGTAGTCTGGAAAATGAAAAACATGCAATATTCTTTGTTTATGAATGTCCCATGTTTTCCAAATGTCACTTCCAGAACTTTTCAAGACATTCCTCATGCTTCCATAATGTTTCGTATGCATTCATGCACTTTCTTGAGCATCAGTCATTCTCCAAAAACTATCAGACACCCCCTCTCCTACTTGGATTGCTTGTATTATCCAAGTAATTGCGGTATCATCCTTCCCTATGCGTTCCCTCATGTTGTTCGTGGTTTATATTTTGAGGATTCTTTCACTCTTGGTTCTAAGCATAGAAGGATTTTCTATGGTCATGAAAATCAGCCGCTTCATATAAATTTTTTCTACAAAAGATTTTTTTAGCGAACGTCATTCTATTAGGCTTCTTTTTTTTTTTCTTTGCTTGTCCATGAAAGAGCTTTATGGTCTACTATTTTGGATTGTATCATTGTAAGGTGTTTTTTATCCTTGGGGAAATCATGGACACCTAGATTACTGTCTACCTATAGGATCCAGTTGCTTATCCTAGTTCACCTATGATACGAATTTAAAAAATATTTGGCCACAGTTAGTGCACATTCATCGGGAAAAAAGTTGAAGTTATATCTGATACAAAATTTCAAAGTGTTCACATATTTCAAGCGGTGTGAGCTTGGACTAGAGTTATCAATGATGGAGTCTCTCAAAAATAAAGAAAAGTTTCTAGTTATGTTAACATGAATATTGTTATCATTTGCTTACTAAATTTATTATTGTGGAACTTTAAATTGTATCTTGTTCTTCCCACCGGCATTGTGCTTGTGCCCATTGCATAAATTTATTATTGTGGAACTTTAAATTGTATCTTGTTCTTCCCACCGGCATTGTGCTTGTGCCCATTGCATAGACTAGTGAATCTGGCATAAACAGCTCTTACTCATTATCTTTGTTATTCTTATTACTTGAATTGACTTTATTTTTCTATACATGTTTTTTGGTAAATGAGCTAGAACTGATGAAGTTGGTAGGCTTCAATTTATGAATAACGGATGTCAAACTTGGATTATTTGCAGTGTAATATTGAAAATTTCTAAATTGTTTTTTTGTAACATAAGTTGCACAGTTGGACTGTGATATATTCTAAATTTTTTCCCTAAATGCAGTGACCACAACAGCGGAAGTGGTGCTGATTTTGTAGCTGGTTTCGTTTTAGGAGGTGCAGTATTTGGAACACTCGCATATATATTTGCTCCACAGGTGATAATACATTATTCTGTTATATCTCCCACTGATACCTTGTTTTTTCCCAAATGTATACTTCTAATGATTGCTTTTGCTCAACAATTACGAGTCATCAAATTTATGAGCTGATTATCCGGAAAAACAGCAGGATAGGAAAGTTTGAGATTTGGAAAAAATGAGTCGTGAAAATTTCCCAGAAACTAATAATATGTGATATTGCAGAAGCGTCTTAATAATTTACTTGCTTGCTTGCCAACATGGTTTTATTGTATGCTTTTATTTATTTACTCAGTCTCCTCATGTGATGTGCTACTAGATTAGAAGAACACTGCTAAATGAAGATGAAGATGAATTCGGCTTCAAGAGGGCCAAAGGACCTATTTACTATGATGAAGGTTTAGAGGTAAATTACTACTATGGCTGCTTTCATCCTTGAGTTTTTTAATTGCACTCATTTAACCACATTCTTATTTTCGTCATTCTGAAATCAGACGACCAGGCATACATTGAATGAAAAAATCCGCCAACTCAACTCCGCTATTGACAATGTGGCATCCCGTTTGAAAGGTGGCATTAATTTGCCTCAGGTGCCAGCTGACCCTGATGCTGAAGAAGCTGTTGTGTAATAATGGTGGGCTCAATTGGTTTGTCTTTCCAGCTTTTACAAGTTAGTTTGGTGTTGAACGCATGTCACTACATCTATTTTATTTATAACTGTGTAATGCTTTTGAAAAAACCTGAACTTTTTTTTATGGTCATTTGATTGCTTAGAGAATCTTCTTTATGACATGAAACTTTGATGGCCTTAATTTTTATTGGATTATCCGTGTGGGGTTTATTTTTATCCTCTGCATTTACGTAGTGTGTGATACGGCTTCCTTATCGATTCTGGTGAATCGAGGTTTGGAGTCCAGGATTTTGCTGGATAACACAAATGTATTCAGTAATGAGAGGAAAATTTTGAATGTGCAAATGCAGAACATATTGAATACATAAACCAAGTTTTACTCTTGGCATTGATTTGATTAACTGTCCAGTAGAAAGTAGAAACACAATAGTGGATTTGATGGTTTACTTGTGCATTTATGAACAGAGCTTGGTAAGCATGTAAATTGCTAAAACATTTTTTTTTTCCTAGCATGTAAATTGCTATAATACAAATGGGTAATCTTTTTTATCATAATTACGAAATACTTTAATAATTAAGGTAACAATTTTATTTTCAGCAGATTTGAAAATCTGAATCGTTAAATACCGCACTCAAATTCATTATACCGCACCCTAAAATGACCAAAATACCCTTACTAATTTAAAAAAAAAAAACGAAAA